ATTGGAATGACCATAGCTGACCTCTTGGATAGCAGCAGCACTGAAACCATTGAAAGTGATGGTACACCGGTGCTTAATCACACTAGCAATTCTGATTTACAAACTACAGATGCTATAAGCATGAGCCTTGAAGTTTTCCTCATTACAGCTCTGGACTTTTCCCTTTCTCCATTCAGAAACTTAACAACAGTGACTTAACTAGTGACTGAAGAAAAGGGAGTCAAAGAGCAGGATGATTGTAATGGTGAAGAAACACAATCACTCACAGTCAAGACCATACATCCTTCAGCTGTGCATTCTTTAGACTGCAGCTTAGATGCAGTATTACTCAATGGTGAGACATAGGGCATGATTGGGTGGAAGCCAGTGTAGGAATCAAGGATAACATTTATCCTAACACACTGGGGATGAAGAACATAGAGGTTTGGTGATGGGGACTTAGATGAACACTTTCAAAACGGCAGTAACAGAAAAAGGCAGGTGGGTATGTAAATGGTAATCTGTTGTGACTATCAAGAAGGATGCAGATTCCAGGATCAACCTTGTACTCATGAGTTTCAGATGTAGCCACTTCCATGTATAGGTCTCCTCCAATCAATGCAGACAGTACAACCAGTGCTGAAGCATTCCAGTGGTTTGCTCAATGACACTTCATGCAGAACCATAGTGTTTACTAAATGCAAGCTGTCCACCTTCTCTGAGTCCCCTGTAGTTTAGTCTGGATCAATAAGATACCCGGTTTATGTGTGTCGCCTGGGAAAGTCATTGTATCAGGATTGCTGATGAAAATTGGAATTGGCTGGCGGGACAAGTTTACGTAATGCACTCTCTTAATTGCACAACTAGACTGGGTGAGCAGAAAGCAAGATGTATCATTATGCACCATCCACATGGTAGTACACTTGATGTTTCACACCGACCAGGTACCTGGTGTCCTACTGACATACTTTGATGCCAACAACAAAGACAGATTCCCCTCCTTCCATTCCATCTTTGGTAGCACAAATTTCATCCTTAAAATCCTGCATTGTTAAATTGTTTTCCTTAACCTATACATCTTTACCCATTTGAAAAGGTTCCTCAAATCATATGCATTTTATCTCCCCTTTAATCATTCCTTCATATCTTTTCTTTATTCTTCAATTTCTGGCATTCTGTCTCACTTTGAGAACTTTCAAACATGAAATATGTCATTTTACTATAAATTGTCAATGAGCATTTCCTAAATGACTTACCTCTCTGAATAATATTGCCAATGAATGCTAAGTAATTCACTTATTAAAATCTTTTTTGCTGCGCAATAGCACGAGGAGTTGGTTTGAGGATGTCCCATTTCATTTCATTCAGGTCCCTGCCCACATGGAACTCCAGTTTAAACACCGGTGAACACTTTCAGTTTACTACTGAGGGAGGATCTGAACTTAAAATCCAACTGAATTAAAATTTGAAAACAAGATATTAAAATAAGGAACCGTTTTTAATCGGAAACCTCTCACAAACTGTGCAACATGTCCGGAAGAAGATGAAGTAAGTTGCTTTATGCGTTTGCAGAATGGAATTGGAGAAAGAATAAATGAGATAAGTAGCAGCTTTAAATCAATGAAAAAAGAACTTTCAGAATCTCTTGATTTCACTTCTGAAGTTTGCACATTAAGGGTGACACAGTGGCTCAGTGGTTAGCACTGCTGTCAGGGACCCGGGTTCAATTCCACCCTTGGGCGACTTCTGTGTGGTATTTGCACATTCTCCCCATGTCTGTGTGGGTTTCCTCCCACAGTCCACAGATGTGCAGGTTAGGTAGATTGGCCATGCTAAATTGCCCATTGTGTCCAGGGATGTGTAGGCTAGGGAGATTGGCCTTGGGAAATGTGGAGTTACAGTGATGGGGTGGGTCTGGCTGGGATTCTCTTCAAAGAGTCGATGTGGACTTGATAGGCCAAAGGCCTTTTTCTATGCTGTAGAGATTCTATGAAGTACCTTATTTTCCTGAATACCCCGATTTCAATAAACACATGCCAACGAAGGAATGGACAAAATCTGAAAAGAAACACTGCATTTCATTGACTAGTCTTAAAATTGAACAAGTCATACCACTCTGCCTGCAGACATCTCAATTACTTTGTGACCTAGCAGTTTGAGTTTGTTTTCAGAACACTGAATATGGAGAGAGTCAGCTTGACCAGTACTCAGCTCAATTGTTCGCATACCAAACATTTAAATTTTACTTCAGACTATGAAGAGTTATTATTGATGCATTTTCAAGGAATCTAAAATGTTGCTATGAATGTCACACAGCACTTCTCAAACGTATTCTGAACAAAGAACGTTGATCAATTTTTATTATTTATAATATAACCTGAATTCAAAAATGTGATCTGACCAGTACACAGGTCTAACAGTGACAAAAGAAATGCACAAATTACTTTAGAGCACAGAAATACCATAAGGTTAAGGAAGCAGTCAATTTAGACAGTTATGGATTACTATGCCATTAACTTATTGATCATCCACTAGGGATCGATTACCTAATTACAAAATTATAATACATGTTTGTAATGTAGGCTATATCATTCATGAATAGACTACATAATTTATCCTTTGTTTAATGTCAGTCACAACCTATGCCACTATTCTTCAGAATTGTATATTAATGACCACATTGTCAATATTAATATCATACATAAACAACAGAATATACTGGAACTATCAGTGAGATCCTTTTCTATCCTTTCCAGTCTTGTAGATAAATTTCTGAAGACTCAAACAATGAATCTTCCCAACCATCCTTTCTAAAACTTGGCATAATTTATGTTTCTTCTTTTGCTGGTAATGGATTGTTCCACTAAGGATGTATCTTAGATATATTCTTTGCATTATCTGTTCAATTAATGGCATCATCCATTAATCTTACAAAAAAGGTGAACACCATCACTTTGAGATTAAAATTTATAGATTCAGGACTTTGAACTTTTCACCAATGGGTTTTGATAATGGACCTATTTGTTGCTCAAATTTATAAAGCATACTGCTAACTCCAGCTTTTCTGTAACCTTTTAACTTATTGACTGCAAGTGCTTGTGTAATTATAGCTTATAGATGTGATTAGTAGTCAGCATTTGATATATTCTGTGAGACGAAAATAAGGAAACAAATGTTCCACTTGTAGTGCACATCATTCTGCCCATTTTTACCTACATTTGACAGTTACAAAGCTTTCACTGCACTATTGCATATTTATCAGTCAGAAACCTCTAAAAGCTAATAGCTTTTCAGTAATAAAAACACTTGCATTTATATAGTATATCTCATAACATCCCGAAGTACTTTAGCCAGTGAATTACTATTTAAGTTTAGTTAATGTAATAAAGTAGGAATTGCCTATATGGTCCCACAAACAAGTAACATGACAGTGAGCTGATAATCTGCTTCTGTGATCTTTTACACACACTTTGGAGGGCAGACTGAATCTTATTTTAACATCCCACTTGAAAGACAGCATCTCCATCACTGCTGCATGCCCTCAATACTGCATATGAGTGACAGCCGAGGTTGATTCTCAAGCTTTGAGGTTTTAACCTCCGATTCAGAGGGAAGAGTGCTGCCAAGTGACACCTCTTCTTGACAGCTATATGTTCAGTACTGCGGATACACCTTTTAAACTTGAGCAGAATCTTGTGGTTTTCCCCTTATGAATTTGGTTCGGGGGGGGGAGGGGGGTGGTGGTGGGGTGGGGGGGTGGGGTAAGGTGGAAAGCATAGGCATTTAATTGGGTGGAAGGATGGTGGTTGGGGATCTTGCTAACTTCCCACCTTCACCATGATCAAGTCGGGTTGAGAAGAACCATGGACAGCATTCCTGCATTGCCACAGATAAGTAGGCAATTAACAGGTACTTAAGGGACTTGACATGCTGCTACTGGTATAAATCATTCCACTCAGCTAAATCCTTACTATCACTTTGTGGCCACTTTTGTTCAGGGGAAGCCCCAAGCAAATATTCATAACAGGATTCTATTGCATAGCTGTGTCAACAAACTTTCAGAGTTGAATATATTAAACCCTTTGCTGTCTTAGAAACCTTAACCATCTGTTCAAGCATTGAAGCAGGAGATCAAATAACTGTGTAGAATATATTGAAGCATTTAACTAACTAGAACAGATGATGATGAAAATGTTGAACAGGTGGCTGGATCATCAAACAAATAAAATATTAAATCACTGTAGGAAATTGACACTTTAAAGTCTTAATTTCTGCACTGCTGAATGCAGAAGAACAATTCATCCACTAGGCAAAGTATTCAAATAAATTTCACAATACTAGTTAATCTAATGATTACTTATACTTTCTAAATAAGTTCCTAACATTAAATGCTTTAATATATTTTTAATACACTTATCATACACCATTGCACTATGACATGTGAAGGTTTCATCTCCTTTTTAACTTACTTAGCTATCAATAAGTTCCCGGCTCCAAACAATAATGGGAGCATGGTGGGGTGACTATTGCTCCAGTCTGTTGAGGCCTTTACTGCATTCCTGGTCAAAGCTTGGGTTTTGCTTTCACAATGGTGGCAACGCAGCTGTAGCCACCCTTCATCCCTGACCGACCTCCTTCAGGCTGCTGCGCATGCAGGGGGCGACAGGGAGAGTAGAAAAATCCAGTTGGCTTCTGGTAATTAAGCCCTAATTAGGCATATATCTATCTTACCTTAATTGGTGTTGGTCCATCTCTATTAAGCAGGGGCAAAAATTCTGCTCTTTTTGTTCCTGAGACTTTATGTGTTTGTGCGCTTTTGAATATTTTGTTTATTTTTATTTCTGTGTTTCTGTTTCATTTCATTTTGACAAATTTTGTGAGTGGGACAAACAAGAAATAGTTTTGAACATCCCTCTACGAAGGTAGACCAAAATTGGCATTTTAATCGCATAATTATTAGCTAAGAATGTACTATCGAGGGCCAGGTTAAAGCTTCAGACCAGATGGGTGGGACGAGCTGATATGAATGAGAGCAGATTATGGTATCAGCCTAACAAGGCTTCAGAAAGCAGAAACTGCTGGAAGCTGAACACGAACAAAATCTGCACCTCCTCAGCTTCTGCAATTAGATTTCAAGTGGAGAATATTGCAAATGTAGGTGAGTTTGCAAGGTTGAAGATAACACAGATTCTGTATTTTCTCATTGAAAATTAAGCTTTTACAGAATTTATATGAACCATGTTTCTTCCTGAAGTGCTATCATTATCGTGAATGATATTTGACAAGGAAATCTCATTCAGCAATGTGCTTTAATTTGCTTTGTTCAACGTATCCACTCTAATAAAATGCAATGTGCTATAACATAGATTGTTTTATAATAGGGAGCTCAGTTTGATGCAAAAATTGTTTTCAGGGAAGTCCGAAAAGGGTAAATTGTAAAATTTTGATTGTGCCAATGGATATCAAATATCAGAGTGACAAGAGTTCATCAAACTCAATGCAGCGCATTCTAAATCTCCTTGTAGCTCAGGTCACACATTTAAAGGATTATAATCAAACATCATGCAATGGTAGCAGATCTGTGTCAAAGAATTAACCAGTGGCATTTCAACAACCCAGAACAAAATGTCAATACCCTACTGCTGTATGTGGAGCTGGTCTCTAGTGACCAAGATAATGGCTTCCAGTCCCTTAGAAAGACTATAACTTTTCTATGCCGAAATAAATTCTTGACCTAATCAGAAAGTATTTCACATTTAATTCGTTGAGAAAATGGCTTTGCTATTTTCACTGATAATAAATTATATGGAATTAAACATGGGTTTGAAATTCGTCCATTCTTAGCAGAACAAAACAACCTGCTTGAATTGGCAGCCTGCAATACAGAATGATCCATCATCTTTTCCACTTAAGTCAGACAGAAAGAAAGTCCGGCATAATATAAAGTGGGCTGCTAACTGACAAGGAGCCCATTTCACACCTACCAGCAGAGACCAGTCCTATGCCCATTCATTTCAAATGGTGGAATTCGAGTTTGTTGTTTTTGACCTATTTCTAAATGGTTGTTAGATCTCCTGAAACTAACAGTAAGGCTTTGGTTTTAACCTATAAGCAACTTGTTCCTGGGGACAGGGGGATTGTTGACATGAGGTCACAAAACCCCAGAAGAATGGTTTCTCAAATGTCTTACTGAATTTAGCTGCTGGGCTCCATTAAATGAGAATCCCACCATTGCAGTCTGATTGACAGGCTGAGGGCTCCTCAGACAGAAAGCCAGCTTCACAGGAACAAACCCCATAGCAGCACACCAGTGTATTAAGGGGAGTGAGTGATCGTGGGGTGGGGGTATGCGAGTGCCCCATCACATTGGTTCCAATTACCGGACAGGGGCCATCATATTCTGGTGATCCTCATCATGGTGGTGGGAGTGTAGTTGGTCAAGATGGCAGAAGGGATCTGATGGTGGTTGGGCAGAGCAGTGAGAGGGTGAATATTTTATCGTGTTAGTGGCACTTAAACTTCTGAATTGCCTGGGTCGTCAGTTCAGTGAAGCTTTGGGAATGGCTAGAAATGGTCAAAAGTACAAAACTAAAGGACAGTGAAGCCTGAAACCTCATATACTGAACATTTCAACCGAGCTTTTGAAGCAGGTTGCGAGTTTACCCCAAATTCAGGCCTCAATTAAAACTTGAAATTAGAGCACAGGAGTTAGGTTCAGGTTGGGAACCTAATTTTTCAGTCTTTAACTTCCCCAATCTCTGAACTCAAACCATTTTTTTCTTGTGATATTACGTTCATGTTGTGAAGATGTATAATATTGTCACAACCTTGTTAAGATTTATCTCTTGTTGTCTCTTTTATTTATGACAGCTGCTGTTTGCCATTTTTATCAATATACAGTATGTTTTCTTCATTTAACTCTAGTCTCTAGGTCAATATCCTTTGGTGTAGAACATAAAGCTCGCCAACATCTCCTTGATATATTTATGTGAATAAGCTCAGAAGCTGGATGCTTTTCACCAAATAGTGAAATACAGTAATTTTTGATGGTAGCAGCACTTTTTCTACAATTAGCTTTGATGCCATGTGTGCCTTCCACAACTTGAAGTATAAATGGGATTGTTAGGCTGATGACACCATCAAACTGAGACTTGGCCACGTACTTTAGACCCCTACTGACCTATAAGGTTCCCCATGGTAGGCTATTGCAGAAAATACGGAGGCATGGGATTGAGGGTGATTTAGCGGTTTGGATCAGAAATTGGCTAGCTGTAAGAAGACAGAGGGTGGTGGTTGATGGGAAATGTTCATCCTGGAGTTCAGTTACTAGTGGTGTACCTCAAGGATCTGTTTTGGGGCCACTGCTGTTTGTCATTTTTATAAATGACCTGGATGAGGGCGTAGAAGGATGGGTTAGTAAATTTGCGGATGACACCAAAGTCGGTGGAGTTGTGGATAGTGCGGAAGGATGTTGCAGGTTACAGAGGGACATAGATAAGCTGCAGAGCTGGGCTGAGAGGTGGCAAATGGAGTTTAATGCGGAAAAGTGTGAGGTGATTCACTTTGGAAGGAGTAACAGGAATACAGAGTACTGGGCTAATGGTAAGATTCTTGGTAGTGTGGATGAGCAGAAAGAGCTCAGTGTCCATGTGCATAGATCACTGAAAGTTGCCACCCAGGTTGATAGTGTTGTTAAGAAGGCGTACAGTATGTTAGGTTTTATTGGTAGAGGGATTGAGTTTCGGAGCCATGAGGTCATGTTGCAGCTGTACAAAACTCTGGTGCGGCCGCACTTGGAGTATTGCGTACAGTTCCGGTCACCGCATTATAGGAAGGATGTGGAAGCATTGGAAAGGGTGCAGAGGAGATTTACCAGGATGTTGCCTGGTATGGAGGGAAGGTCTTATGAGGAAAGGCTGAGGGTCTTGAGGTTGTTTTCGTTAGAGAGAAGAAGGTTAAGAGGTGACTTGATAGAGACATACAAGATGATCAGAGGATTAGATAGGGTGGACAGCGGGAGCCTTTTTCCTTGGATGGTGATGGTGGCTAGCACGAGGAGACATAGCTTTAAATTGAGGGGTGATAGATATAGGACAGATGTCAGAGGTAGGTTCTTTACTCAGTAGTAAGGGCGTGGAATGCCCTGCCTGCAAAAGTAGTAGATTCGCCAACTTTAAGGGCATTTAAATGGTCATTGGATAAACATATGGATGATAATGGAATAGTTTAGGTTAGATGGGCTTCAGATTGGTTTCACAGGTCGGCGCAACATCGAGGGCCGAAGGGCCTGTACTGTGCTGTAATGTTCTATGTTCTATGTTCTATGTTCTATGTTCTATGTTCTATGTT